TGTAAAGAAAAATCACGAAAAAAGATTTTTAAACATTTCAAAATCATAAAAATTAGTAAGTAACGCTAATTTGTGATTTACTTACAGATATTAAATTTATAATTTCCTAAGTTTTACTTATTATAATATTTAAGATAACCTTGTGCCATTTTCATGAAATTTTTAAAAGTTGATAAGGAAAAATTAATTTAAACAATTAAAAAAATGAGAATTTATTACTAAATCTAAAGTTATTAGATTTATTACGATTAATTTTGTCACGTTTAAAGAAAATTTCATTTGACTGAATACTGACGTAACTCGATCGATTATTCAACAGATCAATAGATAATATCGATTTATTTGAATAAGATTAAAAAGCTTACGATTCGTATTTTATTTATAACGGTAGCAAATATTCCCAATCTTTAATTTCATTTAAAAAAATTATAAGTGTTAAGTGTTCGTAGAATAAAATTTAAATATAGTATATAACATTTTAATTGTATGCCCTATTTTAAAATAATCAGTTGTTATAAAGTTAAATTATAGAAATAATTAGATGTACGGTACTGTAAGAAATTTTATTGAGAACAAAAAATCTTAGAGATTTAATAATATTGGTTTCCAAAATGAATTTAAATGAAAATTATTAACATTATTCTTTCCGTTTCCTACTTCTTTTGTGCATAATTACTTTCTTCTTCTTTTTCTTTTTGTTAAAATGCTACGTTTAAAGTGAAAAGATTAACACAAAAGAATTGCACATAATTTGTATCCTGTCGTTCCAACATGTGGACGACGTTGCCTTTAATAATTGGCCAGTTGCCAACTGTTGCTATCACTTGTGTATTAGTTTTTGTGAAACCTTCCTTCCTATATACACTTTCCTACTCTCTAAGTCATGTAAACGTAAATATCGTAATAATAATTATTAGATATTATTGATGTTTGGTGCTTATTAATTTATTAATAAAAAGAAAGCTTAAAATCAATTGTTTATATTTTCATTTAATGCTAATGATGAAATATTGTAAGTATCAGTGTTATTTGTTTCTTTTTTTTAAATTTTATTATTTAATTATTTTTGAACAGCACTTATTTCTTGTTTTAAGTTTTAAAATAATGATTTAATGCAGTTTCAACAAGTTTCTACAACACAATATGAATTATATTGATAACATACATCATCAACTATAACAGAAAAAAATATATATATTACTAGTAGTAATACCCTTTTAATAATGAAAAAGCAAGTATTATATATTTAAAATCATACTTTGTTAAAATTCAGTTAGTATTTTATTTAATTTTAAATCTTATCATTTATGATAAGTTTGAATTTAGTTTTATATTGTTTTATAAATTTATTTATATAAAATAATTTATATCTGTATTTTTTGTAATACATGAATGTGAACAAGGGGTAAAAGAAAAATGTTAATTATGATAATTTTAACATATATTTCTTCTGTTTATGAAGATCAGAATAACTTTAAAAGTCTATGCTTTTTATACTTCCTAATAGAGCATTAAAATTACTAATGCAGAAGAAACTAATAAATTTTGGAAATTATTGTAGAAAACAAAATTAAGCAATTTGTTATAGTTTGATTGATAAAAAGAGAAGTTTTTAATATAGAAAGCAAAAAGAGATTGTAGCTATTCTTCAAAATAGAAAGTTGTTAATGTATACATGCTAAATCTCCAAACTATCGCCTAAATATCGGGCTATTATATGACTACTTAAATGATTAGAAATAAAGCAATTTGTCATAATGCTTTATTTCTAATCATTTAAGTAGCCATATAATAGCCTGATATTTAGGCGATCGTTTGGAGATTTAGTATGTATACTATTCGGGCTTTGTGTTGTTGTTATTTGTATACATTCATTATTAAATTCAAAATGTAAAACCTATTTTTACAGGAAATTATTGAGTTAATGAACACAAATGTTCATTTATGTTGAAGAAAAGAAATCAATCTAGATATTAATTTTTTTTTTTATAATTAATATTCTTTCATGGGACCAGACTATTTTTAGCTACATCAGTATTTCTCAAACTTTTTGGACTACCATTCCCATTTAGTGCATATATTTTTTAGTTTGGTTTTTGTTTGTTTCAAAATGAATTTTGATTTCCTTCATCTTCCAACATTGTTACCACTCTTTGTCTTCCAGTACCTCGTTGAGTCTTCTATCGCCCTCAAGGAGGCAGTAGCAACCACTTTGGGAATCACTGAGCTAAATGTTCTTGATCTAAAGTTTATTTTTATCTCATAAAGTTACAGAATCATTTTAAACATCCTTTTAATACAATGTCTTTAAATTTAGGTGTTTAGGCAGCAAGTTTAGCAAGTATAAATGTAACAAGTCACTATTTCCATATCTTCATGTAATTTATGACTATCCTAAGAATTTATCACAAACTGTATTTCTTGTCTGTTCCTAAATTTCTTTGTTGTTGTTTTATTTTTCACTTAGTTCATTATTATGTAATATATAAAAAGTCAGAAAATTTAAGTTTACTTATTAGTTAAATATGGTGTTTTCCACATCAGTAATGTTCTTAATTTTATGGTTCTGTGTCATATATATACATATATGAAGACATTGATTTTAAATAAACTTATTTAAATTTAACTTGTTTTATTGTTTTCTTTTAAATTTAACACCTGAAAAACTGGTTATATATTACATGAGATTACAGAATATTGTGAAATTGAAAAAGTAGCACCACAACTTATCAAATAATAAAAAGTAGAGTTTTTGTAATGTGATGCACAGGTTTAATGCAATTATTTTGTCAAGGAATGCCAGAATACTTTGACAAATGAAAATATTTAAAAGAAAACTTGTAAAGAGCAATAATCTTACATGAATTTCATAAACTTATCTTTTTCTTACAAACATCATCAGATTTATAATGAAGTTTATTATACATTACTATTTCTACTAAAAAAAATGTCATAGACATATGTCTTAAAAAATGATCTAATGGTTTATGCATTGAAAAAAAGCTATATTTTTAGTTCTCATTTTAAATCAGTTTTGTTTTTTTGTATTAATAATGTTACATCATTAATGCAAAAACAAAGTAATATTGTTACTTGAAAGCAGAAAAATAGGAATCAAGAAATTATCAAAAATATATAAATTTTTAATGAAATACTATGCAATTGCTAAATGTGATGATATATGAAAAAGCTCTGTAAGAATAAATCTGGTGTCATTACCTTGTTTGCAAATTATAGCATTTCTTTTTTTTATCTGATTAATGTTTACTTCAGTGATTNCGAGGGCTACCTGTATTTTTTTTTTTATTGTTCAAATCAGAAAAGAATAAGTGCACATTACTAATCCTGAAATGACTGTATTAAATTAATAACTTGAAACTGAAGACAAAAATTTTTTTATATTCTTCAATGTGTTTTTACTGTAATAATAATACCCTTCCATGCCATGTTCATGTGATAAGCACTTGAACATAAATCAGCACTTAAATAACATAGACACCACTAAGCAGTCATGTGCCCAATGACACTTCATAGCAGGCATGCTTAGAACCTAGTTCAGGACTAGGTTGACAAAACTGCATCAAATTATTAGCTGACTAAAAGCTGCCTGTTTGGAGAGACAGAGAGGTTTATGGTTGCCATTCGAGATTAAGTCATAAACCCTAAAAACCACAGAAAACACATTCTGAAGGATACATCACTCACAAATGACTCTTGCAGAAAATGCCACATTCTGCCAGAAACAATACAAGGAACATTCTGCCAGAAACAATCTGGTTTCAAGCTCTTAGCACAGACTATTTACATAGGCATAATCAAATAGAAAATATAATACACCAAGAGTTTGCACTCAAACAGATTAAACACCCAGTTACCATACTACAAACATACTCCACAGGCAGTATTAGATAGTGACACACAAAATATACTATAACAGAGCCATAATCACAGATAAAACAATTCATCACAATAGACCTGATATCATTTTTATTGACAAATGCAATAAGATTACTTATATAATAGATATCTCCATTCCAAACACTCATAACATGAAAAATACTCAAACTGAAAAAAAATCTGCAATTATACGCCACTTGCTCAGGAATTAAGGCAACAGTAGAAGATGGATAAGGTATTTATTGTGCCTATTGTCCTCTCTTCTACTGGTGTTATACCACATACATTGAACAAAAGTCTAGAAACATTAAACCTTAATAAAAATATATACATGGCACTATAGAAAGTCATAGTATTGGACATTGTTAAGAAGTTTCTAGATATGACACATATATCAAGAACACACAAGCTTAATGTTAAATTTGTTTGAGTAGATATGCCTTGACTTTAGTCCGGCATAGCACTTAGTGCCTTATCAGGTGAGTGGTTACGTTATCACCACATTATCACAAAATAATAACAACTTCAATTGCAATACATTTCCACAATAATTCAAATTTTAAAAAGTTATCAATAAAAATCAGAAATGAAACAATAGGAGAAAAGGATTGCGTCTGGTTCCTTCTAACACAAGAGTATCAACTAGCAATGCAAGCCCTTTTGATGATGCTTTCAGGTAGGTATAACCAAGCAGGGTGACCCCCAGAGTCAATATTCCTTTTTCCTTTCTCTTGTTAACCATTCAGCTTTCTGGGTTCATTTGATAAATGCTTCTTTCTTTTGCTTCAGAAAATTTTCAATTGCCATGTAACTTTCCTGGACATCCATCTCACAAAAAGCAAAGAGTAATGCAGTTAACTTATTATTGTTTTGGCATTTTGGCAGAAAAATGCTTTCCTGCCAAATTGATATTAAAATTTTCAAATTACCAAAGTAATTAACAGTATTAAAAAAACTTTTGATACCAATCCTATTACTATTATAATAAAAATGTACTTACTAATGATGTCAAATTTAGTATAGTTTATTCTTATTATAATAATTTCCATTTAAAAGCTTTAAATCTGTTTGTTATTACATATTATCTGGTATTCTTTATTTAGGCACAGAGGATGATCATGAACAGCCAATGACACCTCATCTCTCAGAACCTTCCAGTAGCCCATCAACATCACCCAAGGTATTTAAAATTTCATTAAAACAATTAATGAAAAAATCAAAATTTATTAACAAACCTATTATTACTTAATTTTATTTAGCAATTATAGGAAGTTTAAAAAGGCTGTTTAAAATTAATTTTAATAGATTCATTCAAAATTTCAATAATTTTAATTTTTAAAAAGTTAACTAATTAAGTCATTCTAAAATACCATACTTTCTGGCATATAAGATGACTGGGTGTATAATATGACCCCCGACTTTTGAGAAGATTTTCCTGGGTTAAAAAGTCGTCTTATATGCTGGAAAATATGTGTGTCTTTTTAATTTTGTTCTTATTTCTTATATGATTTTAAAAATTATGCTATGTAGATATTTTAACTTTTCAATGCTAGTGAACTCATTTCCTTTATATACAGATAAAATATATCCTATATGTGGAGATGACATTTAAAATGTGACTGCTATGTAATTTTTGAGAAAACCACAATTTTTATCTTTACTGATCATGTAATTTTTAAAAATGAAGTTACCATGTTATCAGTGCTTTTATTCTGCTTTGTTATACTAAATTTCAGAAATCCTTGTTTTTTTATATTTTGAATTTTATTTAGTTTTATGCATCACATAGCACATATCAATTGGAGCATAATACATATAAGATTTTGATTGCAGTAATTTAATATTATGCTTAATTAAAAATAAATATTTTTTACACATTTTGATATATAGGCAGCCCTCGGTTTATGCCGCAGTTCCATTCCTACAAAAGCCGGTACAAATCAAATTGACGTAAAACGAACCCATATTTACAGTGAGGTATACGGTTAGGTTCTACATAAGTGAAAAATAAGCAAATAATTTTGTTTATTAATACAATATAATACAAAATACATATAAATTTTTAATTTTTAAAATGTATTTTATCATAAAATAAAGTGAAATGTTTTTATTAAAAAATTTGTTTCGGATCTCTTACATTTTTCGGAAAAAAGTTTTGTTTACATTTTTGTTTTCTTTCATTGAGAATTTTGGAATATGGTTGAATGGATGCAACAATGCTTCTTTTTACATTTGCACTTCGCTCCCAATTATTGTCTAACTCACAAAGTTCATCCGTCAAACTTTCCATAGTTGAAAGGATACGTTAACCTGACATAGAGCTACAGACGAGCGGAGACACTGATTGGTCAACCACTGGCCGCCATAGCATATGTATAAGGTCAGTTTGAGTGGGAAAATTGAAGGTGGCTAAGGAGAGATAGATATCATCTGGCTAATAAAAAAGTATCGTCTGGCCAAAGAGAAGTAGATTTGTCTCACTAACGATAGTTTGTGATTGCCGGAAGTGCTACTGCGTCATAAGGTGTTTTCCTGAATGAACTGATATGGGAAACATTCATTGGCACTATGGATTCGGATGCCATTTATTGGACTATTAAGTTTGATAACTTGACTCGTGGGTACTTAAACATTTAGTGTTTTAATATTAATTTAATGCAAATGTATACATACCCAATAATATTAAACGGAAAAACTAAATATATTCAATAAAAATCTTTGTTTTAATGAATGTACAATGTCGCAGCTCAGTAAATATGTCAACACTGAAATGGAAATTAGTCTGGCATAGGGAAAATCAGGGAATTACACCATGAAACGGCAAATTGCTTAGCGGCGTTATTGTGAATCGGCGTAAATTGAGCTGGCGTAAACCGAGGGCTACCTGTATTTTTTTTTTTATTGTTCAAATCAGAAAAGAATAAGTGCACATTACTAATCCTGAAATGACTGTATTAAATTAATAACTTGAAACTGAAGACAAAAATTTTTTTATATTCTTCAATGTGTTTTTACTGTAATAATAATACCCTTCCATGCCATGTTCATGTGATAAGCACTTGAACATAAATCAGCACTTAAATAACATAGACACCACTAAGCAGTCATGTGCCCAATGACACTTCATAGCAGGCATGCTTAGAACCTAGTTCAGGACTAGGTTGACAAAACTGCATCAAATTATTAGCTGACTAAAAGCTGCCTGTTTGGAGAGACAGAGAGGTTTATGGTTGCCATTCGAGATTAAGTCATAAACCCTAAAAACCACAGAAAACACATTCTGAAGGATACATCACTCACAAATGACTCTTGCAGAAAATGCCACATTCTGCCAGAAACAATACAAGGAACATTCTGCCAGAAACAATCTGGTTTCAAGCTCTTAGCACAGACTATTTACATAGGCATAATCAAATAGAAAATATAATACACCAAGAGTTTGCACTCAAACAGATTAAACACCCAGTTACCATACTACAAACATACTCCACAGGCAGTATTAGATAGTGACACACAAAATATACTATAACAGAGCCATAATCACAGATAAAACAATTCATCACAATAGACCTGATATCATTTTTATTGACAAATGCAATAAGATTACTTATATAATAGATATCTCCATTCCAAACACTCATAACATGAAAAATACTCAAACTGAAAAAAAATCTGCAATTATACGCCACTTGCTCAGGAATTAAGGCAACAGTAGAAGATGGATAAGGTATTTATTGTGCCTATTGTCCTCTCTTCTACTGGTGTTATACCACATACATTGAACAAAACTATTAAACCTTAATAACTATTAAACCTTAACAACTATTAAACCTTAATAAAAATATATACATGGCACTATAGAAAGTCATAGTATTGGACATTGTTAAGAAGTTTCTAGATATGACACATATATCAAGAACACACAAGCTTAATGTTAAATTTGTTTGAGTAGATATGCCTTGACTTTAGTCCGGCATAGCACTTAGTGCCTTATCAGGTGAGTGGTTACGTTATCACCACATTATCACAAAATAATAACAACTTCAATTGCAATACATTTCCACAATAATTCAAATTTTAAAAAGTTATCAATAAAAATCAGAAATGAAACAATAGGAGAAAAGGATTACGTCTGGTTCCTTCTAACACAAGAGTATCAACTAGCAATGCAAGCCCTTTTGATGATGCTTTCAGGTAGGTATAACCAAGCAGGGTGACCCCCAGAGTCAATATTCCTTTTTCCTTTCTCTTGTTAACCATTCAGCTTTCTGGGTTCATTTGATAAATGCTTCTTTCTTTTGCTTCAGAAAATTTTCAATTGCCATGTAACTTTCCTGGACATCCATCTCACAAAAAGCAAAGAGTAATGCAGTTAACTTATTATTGTTTTGGCATTTTGGCAGAAAAATGCTTTCCTGCCAAATTGATATTAAAATTTTCAAATTACCAAAGTAATTAACAGTATTAAAAAAACTTTTGATACCAATCCTATTACTATTATATTTTTGTTAAATTATTAATTTAATTACTGTAATTAAAATGAATTAAAATTATATTGGTTATTAATTAATTATTTAATTAATAGGAACCAAGGTTGATCTTTGTGATCTCATATATATATATATGTATTTTATCCAGATATGTTTTGAAGTGACTGTAATTACATAGCACATTTTGATTGCATCACTTTTTGCCACATAGTACATTTTATTTGGAACATGAATTTTCTGCAATTTTCTCAAGGTAACAAAATAGATTTTAAAGTGAAAAAAACATTCCATATATGCCATTTAGCAAGTACTGTAGAGAAAATCATATAAATGTTTTTTTTTCTTTTGTTGGGGCATGACTTGGCACATATTGAATGCAAACCCCACATATATATGTGTATGTAAGGATTGTTTATATTTTATAGAAATTCTTGAATGATACCTATTACACAATACTTAAAGAATGATTCATCATAAAAATAAAATTTTATAATAAATAATGATGTACATTTTCTAAAATCTATATCTGTTACAATTTATTTACTTTTTCATTTCTGTTTTCTTTCAAGAATAAAAATTCAATCAGATTATAAGTGAATTCCTCATATACTAATGATAATTAATTTAAAATATATTTTTCTAATTAAAAAAGAAAATTAATTTTATGTGTATTTTTAACTTAAGAGAAAATTAAGCATATTAAAACAAAATATTTTAATAAATAGGGTGAAATTAAATCAACAGACTCAGCTAATAAATTAGCAAAGAGAGAATCTTATAAGGTATGTCAATTATTGTATAAGTTTTTAATAATAATTTTATTTTTTTTTAATTTTTTAACAATTAATATTAATAATTCATTTGTTAGATCAAAACTTCTAAAAGGAAGCATATAGAAAAAAGTCTTGAAATTTAAAAAAATGAATGTTTTGGAAATAAAATAAAATGGAATTAAATAATAATTCATTATCTTTTTCATACATATCATAAAGGAAACAATATTGTTATGAATAAAATATTTAATCTTCTGATTTCCACTTTTCTACAACATACTCTATATCCAATGAAACCTAACAACTTTATTTTTTTATTAGGTTTAATGTTTTATTAAAATTTTTTTCCATTTTAATATAGTTATTTTATGAATTGAAAATAAGAATACAAAAGATATACAAACTATTTTTTAAAATATATTTATTGTTTTGTTAATATTTTATTTTATAATTTTCAAATTTAGAATTTAGTTTAAAAAGTTGTCATTTATTTATTTGAAGTGTAAATTAAATGCCAAAAAATGGTTTATTTATATAGAAGCATAAGTCAGAATGTAAGTTTTCCTATTTTATCATTTGAATTGCAGCTCACTGCAACTTGGGTACCATAGTAATGCAGTGAGCTCATAGTCACACTGCTAGATGTCACACAGTTGCACTGGCCACTGAAAAAAGATATAGATGCATTAACAGTTGCCAAATGGAGAAAGTACTGAATGAGTAGCCAAGGGATGAGGTGTGTGAACTCATCCAGTTTCTGTGGAAGAAAACACAGAACTTGTAAACTGAGGTATCTGTATATGAAGCAGATATGATATATTTCCAACAATTGCAGAAATGGTTACAATGTGCAATGGTCAAACAAGTGTGAAAAATGAGCAAAGGAATGGCTGCTCATCAACACCATTATGCCACTGATGAAATAGTGTAGAAGAACAGACATATCACACTGAAGCAGTTAGAGATGCACTTTAATCTTTTGTTCAGCAGCATTTGGGACATTGTTATGAATATTTGTACTTTCAGGAAGTGTGCAACATGCAACATAGTCTCAAAGGTTTGACTCATATTAATGAGAGTTGAATGTATAATGTAAAGCTAGAATTTATAAGAATAATAAAATAACACTAGTAGTTATAGTATAAAAATTAGCACAGAAGTTTTTAAAGAATTAAATATCTTAGGAATTTTTAAATTATTCTTTATGAAATCCACAGCTAAACAATAAATATTACAATTAAATATTTTGCTTTGTATTTATTTAAATGATATTGAGTAATTTTAAATTATTTTATGAAATATATATGTAAACTATTTCAGTTTGAGTGTAACTAATATTAATGAAATTAAGAATTTACCAGAAGTGACTAAAAACTTCTGAAGAAAAGAGTTAAAAATTAAATGAAAAGCTTTTATAATACTAATATATAATACAGGCAGATAAGCCCAGCATTGTCTAGGTATAAATTTTTCAAGATTTTTTGCCCAGGTTTAAAATTTTGTATATACTGTATATATAATCAAATTATAGGAATTGCTAACAATCTTTATGTATACTCTCCATTCAGAAAAAAATGCAATGTTGTATATAAAAAAGTGTTATAAACTTTATTTTAAAATTGATCTTTCTTTGATACATGTTTTTTTTTTATTTCTCACATCGTAAATTTTTGTTCTTACTAAATAATTTCCTGAAAAAAAAATTTCAAATCTAAATATTCTGTTTCCTGCTTATAAGCGAAAAGAATATCTGTTCAATTTGCACTCTTCATTGTTTGACAAAGAACCTTCACAGTAATTTGTATGTAAGGGATGTGTTATGTTGGTCACATCGGTTTTTTTTTGTATAAACTTTTTTAATGATCTATTTTTTAATTTTTTTTTTGCAATAGATGGTGCTTACATGTAAATTCAGCAAATCCAATCTAAACAGAAATTAATTGCTATATAAAAATTTAATCAATATTTTGGAGTGGGATGTATGACATTATATAAGTTAGAAGCATGTTAACATAACTGCCGAATTTTGTAGCAATCGGTGGAATGTCCTAGGACTGTATAAGAAACAAACAAACATTGTTATTTATAGATATAGATGAAGAATGTTTAAATTTACAAATTAAATTTTAAATGTTTAAATTAAATAAATTTTCATAATTTTTTCAATTTGTATAAATAATTATTATGATTTGGATGGCATAAATGACAGTTTAACTAGTCAGTCATGAGATTCAAATCTAATGTTTGAACTCATCATTTTTATATTTATTTATTTAATTAATTCTGACAACAATACCTACAATAATCTACTTTACTTTACTAATTGTCTGCTTTATCATATTTGTCTAAATATTAACAAGCTTATTATTTAAATTAATTTAAGCAGAAGTAGATGTTGGTAATTTTGACACTTATTAATTTATATTTAATTTTGTTATCTAGTTTTTGTTTAGTATTTATATTAATTTTTTTTCAAATTTCTAGTATCCATTTAGTAATTAATTTTTATCCATTTTAAAAAATAACAAAACTGGTTGGATTCTATTTGCTACCATTTTGCTATAGTTAAAGCATGTATATACAGTGGACTTTTTCTAATCTAAACCAATTTTGTTCATTGTTCTGCTAAATGTTCTAGCCAAAAACAAAAAATAAATAAATTGGGGATTCATTTTCAAAAATATTGAATTTATCTATTATTAATTTTGGTTTGCTTTTCTTTGATTTCAACTCAATAATCCAAACAGCTTGAACAATAATTAGTTCAGATTAGTGAGAGTACACTGTAATTGCTTAAAAAGTAAACAACTGTAAATCAGATTTAACAAGATTGATTATAAAAATGAAAATTAAAGTATAGTCAACTCCTAATTTATTGGAGTAATGGCGGATTCACAGATCAGTGTTTCAAATTTCATGATAAATCTGCAAATTACTTGAAAATAATTGTGTGCACAATAAGAGGTACTCTACAGTGGGTGATTGGTTAACGAACAGGTCGGACAATGAACAAATCGGATAATGAACACTTTCGCGAAAGATTTTTATGTTCGGACAACGAACACATGATCGGATAACGAACATCCCACATAACAAACACAAGAAGAAGCGACGTAAAATAACGATTATCGATTGGACTTTCCTTGTCTTTGGGCAACAATTCGGAACTTTTCGGAGTGTGGGAGACGTCGACATCAACGCTCAAGCCGGTATATACCGATCGGATAGTATTCCTCCGAACTTTGAAACTCTCCCTTATAATTCCAGCCTTTTATTTTTATGACAAAATAATTCTTTTATATATTCTCGAGACTGTCGGGTAGGCACTCGTTAAGTTTTGCGTCTGTTTTTTTTTTCGAAAGGTGAGAGTATAATAGCAAAGGTAGAGAGTGGGCAGAAGATGCCTAATGTTGCTGGGCAGTATGGCGTGAACAGGTCTACAGTAGGCCGCAGTTCAATCTTATTTAAGAAAAATACTGTATAATCAAGAAGACTCAAGCAGCTAAAGGAGTAACAAAAATCACATCTGAGAAATAAAGAACATCGAAGAGTTCATAATGGAACCTGAAACGGATCTGACGACAGAAGAACGCCAAGAACTCTTGAATGAAGAACACCAAGAAACTCGGCGAGATATGTTTTCTTCTGAAAAAGAGGATTAATGCCAATGTCTGTTATTAAAGATCCTTTGAAGAAGTGTGATGATGTCAGAACAACGGTCTTAGAATGGCATCCAAACCAGGTTGAGGCTTGGGGATTTCTACAATTGCAATGCTATTAATTACTTAGGAAAAATTTTGAAGATGAGAGAAAAGCAATCAACATTAGACAGATTCTTTAACCCTTTCAAACGGAAAAAACATGACTAATAAAAATGCAAGATTGTGTATACATGTATTTTTATTATTACATATAAATAAACGTAGAAAGAAAGTATATATTTTTTATTTTGGGGGGTCTCCAGAACGAATTAATTAACTTCCCATTAAAACCTATGGTAAATCGATAATCGGTTAACGAACAATTTGGATAGCGAACAAAGTCTTGGAACGGATTATGTTCGTTAACCGATCACCCACTGTATTTCCATATGCCATAAGGAAACTAAACAAAGTAAAATGTACATACATGTGAGCAAATACCCAATGTCTTGTTAGTTAAACACCCCTACAATAAGTTTGAAAGTAGGGTTACTTGTTGCTCTCATGCTTTTGTCAAGGTGACACGAGAGGATGGAGACATAATGGGGTAGCAGTGGCAGACACAGAGATGTACACAGATATACAGAAATAATTGCATTTATTTTGAAGGAAAAAGGTCTTACAAATAATTAAAGCTGACACTTCGTGTTCTGGAGACCAGGTGGGAGGTGATGTTTTGCTTTGAAGTAAGTTGAACTTGATGATTGGAAGATAGTTGATCTTCCTTGCCGATGCTGGACTAGTGAACAGCAGATGGTGGGTCGACATAGTGGAGATAGTTGATGTCACTTTCATTGAGTTGGACTGGTATCTCAGGTATCTTGCAACTGCAGCGACAACACTATAGATCAAGTGTGTGAGCCTTCCCTCAGTGACAACACCCATTGATGACACACACGTGTCCTTGAGAACTTATCACTTTTGATTTTGATTGATCACCATCTGATTTCTTTTTCCCTTATTGGCTCTCATTCTGTTGCTAGAGACCAAATTCAGGTCGGAAGGGATAGACATCTCCCTTACTCCCACGTCGGGGCTTCACTTCCTCCAGTGTTTACCTACAAACTCCTTGGAGTGATAGCTCATAATTAGGGAAAGAGGTGTTTTATCACTTGATAGTCAAGACATCTGGACCAATTGCCTAATTGATGTGAAAAATGTTTTTCTCTAGTTATCCTTTTGCACATTTAGACTCAAAATTGCTTGTTTATGAATTTTGACTTTCATCAGCCACTTTCCTAGCTTAATTTCTCACCATGACACCTCTCTCTCACTTTGAGTTTACTGTTTATAACTCTGTTTCTAACAGAGAAAGAGCACTAAAACACATAAGCAGGTGAGGAGGTTTTGGACCTCATGTAGAGTACAATATGAAAAATATATTGCATTACCAATAATGAAGATTTTACTCATTTAAGACCTACAGAATAGCATTTTAAAAAAAAATTACAATTTCAGTAATTAACAGTACATTAATTATGTTACATAACTATGAAAATTATAAAAAGTACAGTACATTAACCTAAAAAAAAATCAACTCTACTAAATTTAACAACTAGACACGCACTATTGAGAACAATATGATGACTCTTTTGCACATGCATTCCTGCCATCTCCAACTATAGTAAATCCACCCCCACTAAATCAGGAGTTGACATAAAGTAGTAATAATTGTACAGCACAAAATAAATAAGATTAACTCCCACTAAACTGTGAGTTGACCTTATTTATTTTGTGCTTTACAGTTGAAGTTATGAGTTGGTAAGAAATACAATATTCTTTATTCATCATTAATATATCTTCTTTAATTGTTTTTGTGATTTTGCACAATAATGTGATAATTAAATTTTACAAATTTTAGGCACAAAGGAAAAATTACAGACGAGAGAAAAAGCGTGTTGCTCGAGAGCTTTTGAGTACACTTAAAGATCCTTCTATTATCATTTTAGCTGATTGGCTCAAAGTTCGTGGTACTCTTAAAGGATGGACAAAATTGTGGTGTGTCCTAAAGCCAGGCTTATTATTGTTATACAAAAGTCCTAAAACACACAAGGTTAGTTATTTATGTTTGAAATTAAAATGATATATATTTATTATCATTTTTCATTTATATATTAATTAATTACTTCAAAATAGGATCAAATGCCATCAATTTTTGACTTAAAATACTGAACTATCATAAATTGAATTAAACTGACTTAAAAAAAGAAAGTATTATTATAAAAGCCATATTTAAATTTATAATTTGTGTGCGCAATTTAATCAGTTACAATTTCTGATCAATTAATCAAATTACGTCTTCAAAAGAGCAATTTATTAATTTATTTTAGATTATGTCTGTGCTTTTTGAGCGATGTAATTAATATAAAAATCTGCTATTCATCATTTACTGTTTTGTATTTCTAAATAATTGATATTATTATGATTTAATATCCAATATTACCATTGATATGACTCATTTCATTTCAAGAAGTTATTTTGGAGTTTATTACTAAAATTTAGTAATTTATCAAATATATTCAATTTAAATTTTTGTGCAGTAAATGGCTACTGATATAGAAAAATGTAATAAAGTAAAAAAAAAAAGTAAAAGTTTCAAAATTATTATAACATAACGTAAATCTTAATATAATAATCAATTTATGTATTTTATGTTCAGATAACCTTTGCTTTCATTATTTGAAAAGTATCTACTAATGAGAATCTGTTGTAATGTTCACTATCATTTATAAGATTATTATAAGATTGGAAGTATGTTATGTAGAGATTTCAGTTTTGCTTTCAGTTTCATAGCAATTAGAATGTAAATGACAATTTATGAATTGATATGTTAAAACAAACATGGATATAACAAATGACCAAATAACTATTTTTGTGATTCCAAAATTAATACAGAAAGGCCTCATTTTATGAAATGGTTTGATACCCAGTGCACTGTTTACAAAGTGGATCATTCTTAAATGGAGGCAAAATTGTAACTTATTTAAATGAGATTGATTCCTTCAGTATGAAAATTGACTACTAAAAGTTAATAATTTTCAATTTTAATAAAGAATCATGGTTAGTTTTTTTATTACTTTACATAAATAATAATTATAAATAAAATAAGACAAAAGTTTTAAATTAAAAACATGTTTGAAAACAATGGCATAATGAAGCCTTAATGAGATGGGTCTGATTGATGGATCATTTAAATCAACAGGTACTTTGGATTTTCTAGTTAAAAATTGCAGTAAGAATGTCTTGTTTCCACGTAATTCAAATAATTTTATAATGTGTTGGAGGAGAGAATCCTCCAACACATTATAAAATTATTTGAGAATATTTGTAACAGCTTTTTGGATGGAATAGCTGTGTTTACATTCAAGACCATTATCACAATGAGATTTACAGGCAGTTTGTATCTGTGTTAAAGCTTATTTGAGTGTTTGTGATGAGAATCCTGAGTGGTAACATTTCCTCTTGTCCTTTTTAGTAAGTTGTGCTGCCAACTATTTCAAATCTTCCTTCGAAAGTTGCTCTTCATGATCTTTCTAGATACTCAATGACATAATCAATGCTAACATTCTTGGCTATTTGACATATATCAGCTATATGTGAAACAGCTCAAATCTAGAAAAGTTAGATATGAAACAGGCTCAAATCTGGAAAAGTTAGAAACTGCATTGGGCTAAAATTTCCCATTCTGACACTGCTGTTTTTTTTTATTTCATTAAACAAGGATTTTACCTTGTCAATGATTACTGCTTGAATTACAGGAAAGTTCTTTTCATTCATATCATTAATCCATAGCACTAATAATTTTTCCATTTCTTCTGTTACTTCACTACTTATAAATAATAATCTTGAGACATTTGCATTAACAATTCCTGTATATGAATGCTTTGTCTTATCTGAATTGGTTATTATTGTTGTGACTGTAGAAGGTTGGTGCCAACTTAATGCTTTACACCTATCAGAATGACATTCACTTAACTTGAGGTGTCAGATCACTTCCATTTTTTCTTCGATAATAGCAACTTTCTGTTTTTGTACCTGAAGGAGTCAAATCTGTTATACCTTTATACAGAACTTTTAATATACTTTTTAATTAAACCAGTGGCTTGCCATGACATTTGATGATAGGGAAGCTGTGTTTCTGTAAGAAGCTGGCTTCCAGGGGCAATCAGTTAATTGCGCATCAGTGATGGTCTAGGGTCCATTTGTTCAATAAGCCAGTAAAAACTGCAGACTTCTCTAAATGTATTTTTAACATCACAGTTACATTCTGAATCGCTAGCCACATATAAGGGCTACAATTAAAAATAAAATAATAATAACTTACTCAGTGAAATAAAATGTGTGGTGGATGTACTGTACAGTACAGTAATACCTGGTACAAAATATTCTTCAATTGTATGAATATACTTTTAAAGAAAATTATAATTAAATATAGCTTTGTAAAGAAACATACATAAAAATAACACAAAATATTCTTTACTTTTTAAATCTTAAAACAATGCACTTAGTCAAATAGCTCCCTACCAGTGGCTGATGGATGGAATCAGAGACAGTTGCAGTGCATGCATACACGTGGACTGCCAAATCTCCAGGGTGCCGATACTGGTCAATGTCATATACTTCTTTTGTTGCATCACTAGTATATCTCAAAGAATGCAACAGGGTTGTTGTAGATTTTAAACGTTTCTCACCATAGCTGTAAAAATCTACATATGTTAAACTTAATAGTCATTTGTTTTCTAACTAATTCGTTTTAGGACTAGATGTCCATATAAATTTGCAAAATTTACAACTTTTCGGTCACTCCTATTGAACTGGNCAGGGTGCCGATACTGGTCAATGTCATATACTTCTTTTGTTGCATCACTAGTATATCTCAAAGAATGCAACAGGGTTGTTGTAGATTTTAAACGTTTCTCACCATAGCTGTAAAAATCTACATATGTTAAACTTAATAGTCATTTGTTTTCTAACTAATTCGTTTTAGGACTAGATGTCCATATAAATTTGCAAAATTTACAACTTTTCGGTCACTCCTATTGAACTGGGAAAATTTCTGTCTTTATTACATCTAATAATATGAAGAAATCAGTCCCCATTGTACTCAGCTAGAGATTGGTTTGGTTAAGCTTTTGTTTAGGTAAAATTTCGGCTCTTTCAGCAGGATTTTATTTGTTTCCAATTCCCTAATCTCTTAATTATTTAACTACTTTCTAAGTAGAAATAAGTCTAAACTGGTTACTTTGTACTTGAATATTTGTAGTCTTGGAAAAAAGTGGAAAGACAATTTTTTATGACAATGGATACATAAATTGTAAATTTAAGGAAAATGAATTCTAGAGCTTTTTCTGTACCTTGTGCATCTCTCTCATTCATTAAATTTAGTTGTAAATGATGCTACCAAAGTAACAGTTAATTTTTTAACATTGTCAAGAATTGTACGTGTTTTTTTCTGCATCCCCTTATAGATGGGACATACTAAATCATAATATCACTGGTTTAACATTGAAATCTGTAAGCGATACAAGATGGGAAAGCGGAATAAAAATATCAAATATTTTAATGGATTTTTTAAAACTCCTGTCAACTGTACAGAACTATCATAAAAACATGCCAGTAAATTTCTATTGGTTGGGTTAAGTTATAAATTTACTCACGACTCACATAATGGAGCAAGGCCAAATATCTAGCAGGCAGGCGGCTAACAGCCCAGAACCAGTCCGGGATAGAATTATTGGAAGCATTATATGTGTGTAGCTTCAACCAGGTGAACCAATCTCTAGCCAAGTACAGTGGGGACTGATTTCTTCATAATATTAGATGTAATAAAGACAAAAATTTTTCCAGTTCAATGAGAGTGAACGAAAAGTTGTAAATTTTGCAAATTTCTGTGGACATCTAGTCTTAAAACAAATTAGTTAGAAAACAAATGACTATTAAGTTTAACATATGTAGATTTTTACAGCTATAGTGAGAAACGTTGAAAATCTACAACAAGCATAAGGTTTGTGCTCTGTAAAGCGCATGCGCGAATGCCTATAATCTGGCTGTTTGGAAGCTGACCTGGTTTCAACAATACAGCGCTTCCATTCCACCACTGATATTCCAATATACAATAGCAATCTTATTGTTTTTTTTTCATGTGTAGTATAGAAATTTGTAATAAGATACATAATGCGGTTATAATAAAATATTCATTTTAATTAATCCAAAATATGTTAAAATATGAAAATAATCGTGCAATATATATTTATTTTTTCGAAAATACAAGGGAAGCAGCACTTCCACCGCTTCCAATGACGGCACGTCACTGTTTTAAACACAAATACTGAGTATATTAATAATTTTCACTTTCTGAGCAATCCCTACAGTAAAGTTCACAATGGACTAAGACATAACATAAACTTTTGTTACTAACAATGCTGCAAAAATATAAAGTAAAAGCATAGTTACAGGTCCCAAATATAGTTATTAATTTTTTCTCCAAAGTATTGGCAAATTTGTTATCAGTTGCAATATTATGATGCCAAATATTATGCTTATGCTTTTGTTTTTACATGGTTTTGAATATTTGCTATTAATTTTGAAATGTTCATTAATGTCAATCATTGTGAAAAGAGGAAATATAAATAAGGTCTTACTGTATTCATGTAATCCCAAGTCGGGACCAATTTTGTCTGTAAATAATTGTAAATATTTATAAGGCTAAAGTAGCCATTTCTTTGTCTTGTAATTTTATTATTATTCTAATAAATGCTGATGCAGGTGCCCTCTTGGGTCCCATGCCTTCTTTTTTTTTAACACTTTCCTATCTCCCTTTCTTTTCACACTTCATTTCACTTGCTTGCTTTCTTCTTTCCATTTGTTATAGGGCAAAGTCTGTGTGCAAAACAGACAACTCTTTCTAAACTTTATTAAACATACATTTATGGTAATGCTTTCATATTTGTTTTTAATATTAATCTTTGCAAAAGAAATGTTAACTTTTTGCAAGAATATTAACAAAAAATATTAACAAAGCTCATGGTTGTATGGTTGATAATTTACAACCACATAATCAGAAATTTGATAGAATGTTTGTATTAATTAGCTTTTGTTTTTTTTCTTTTCAACATAAAAGTTGTTATTAATGTTTTGAATTAATGTTTATCTTAAGTACAGCTGCAAGGTATTTTAATTTTTTTCTCAAGTTGATATTACTTTTTCATTTTTGTGAAAAGTATGTATATTTTAAAAATATATTAATATAAACTCTAAATTTTGGAATATTTTTGTTTAGAGTAGTCAATGGGTTGGTACTGTTTTATTAAATGCGTGTGAACTTATTGAACGTCCTTCCAAGAAAGATGGGTTTTGTTTTAAACTATTTCATCCTCTCGAACAATCAATATGGGCCTCAAAAGTAAGTGTGTGTGATATTCCTGATTTTATTTAAATTATATTATTTTCAATTTCAGTTAGTTTTAACAGAATTAAATTGATTAGAAATTTTAAAATAATTTGATTAGCAATTAATCTAAACTTAATGTATCAAGTATTACTATTTACATAAACAAATTGTTTGTTATAACTTCAATCACCATTCCATATTGTACTTAAATATTTTTAATTTATTAATTTTCATACTTTCATTTTTTTTTGTTTTGGTATGTTTTATTGTTAAAATGATTGAAAATTAAAGATTTAAAATTTATTCTTAATATTTAAAAAAAAATTCTACAGTTTTACTTTTTAACATTAAATCTTAATATTTTAAGAATGTAATTATTTCATTGATAAATGAAATAATGAATTTTAATGAATTTTATAAAAAATAATAATAGTGTCTGTTAAATATTAAATTAATATAAAATTTATATTTTTGTTACAAAGGAAAAAAGAAATACATAATCAACCATCATTTGAACAAACATATAGAAAATTGATTTAATTTTAAATGTAATAGAATAATAGATTATTTATTATCAATAAGCAAGATACAAACATTACACAAACAGGGATGGCTGTGACTGTATCTTTGTGATCATCATCTCCATATCTGATTTTATAGTAGATGTTGACACAGAACACACATAACTGTGTAATTGGTTACATTGTCTAGCTATACAATCTTCATCTCTTTCTCAATTGATAATGTAATCATGTTTGTGTCTTGTTGGCTTCAAATTGATTCATATCCACATGGTCTCTTCATGCTTTTCTAGAGGTTTATTTAAAAAGGTTTAATTTTAATATTTCTTCTCAGTATACAGTAATTCTAATGAGTATTATTTTCTTCATAAAAATATTTCAGTATACATGATTGAAGTTATGCTTATTCTGTTTCGGTGCCTCTGATTTGTCACTAATGATTATTCTTTGCATTATTTCCAGACATGTTTCATTTATTTATATTTGGAAAAATTATATTTAGTATTTGTGTCAAAATATTTTGAAAAAGTATTAATACAAATTAGAGATGCATGACAAATCTTCTAGCTATCCATTAACATGAATATTACATTTAAGAAATAGTGTTGATAAAAATTCCCTTACTGTAATGATAGTGGGTTGTTTAATAAAGTTTATTCTGATTTTTGGGCTGCAATTTGAAAATATTTTAGATTTATAAATTTCCACTGTTATCTGTCCGTTTGTCTTTCTTTAATCTTGAGAATGGAGTTAGATAAGTGAAAGATGAGACTAGATGTGAAAAGCTTATGGACAGGAAACCCTGATTAACAATATACGAATTTCCAATGCAAACTGGAAGTTCGTTATTTCAATTCAAAACTTTTCCCCTGAAAGTAGTTAATAGATGACTGGCATGTCTCCATTGTTAAAGAAATAGTATGATGTACAGTGACAAAACACTATAGTATTAATTTGAGGTGGAGAGCATATATTTTAAATTAATTAAATTTAAAACATGGTCACAATAAATAATTGCTCATTGATAGTAAGTTTGTAAAGAACAATATTTTTTTGTAATTTAAGAATCAATTGTTTTTCATAACTAACACGTCTATCATCTACAGTTTCTCTGTTTGTATACAGTCGACCCCCCTATAACGTACATTCTTATAACGACAATTCCTATAACGTAGCGAAAAAATTGTAGCAACTTTCGTATAATGTACCTCCTATAACGTCGTTTCGCGAGAAGATTGATAGAGTCTGGACCAATAGTGGATGAGCAGCCGAACTACTTACCTCCGACCCTGCGCCACGCTACGGAGTGGCTAAATTGAGTTTGCTATCGTCTGTTTAGTATTATATATAAATTATATATAAATTAGGTACTGTACATATAATTATATATTAATTATATATAAATTAGGTACTGTATATATAATTATATATTAACTTAATTTATTGTAACTTTATTATAATTATATATATGCTTTCTGCCGCCTGGCAACACGCTACGGAGATTTTAGGCTAGTAAGTTGAGTTTATTATCGTCTGTACAGTATGTAAATTAGGTACCGTAAGTCTAATACAGCACTAATTTTATACATTTCTTGTGAAAGAAACACTTCTTATTCAACGGCCATAAAAATTATTTATATTAATGATGTCTCCAAAGGTCAAGTTATCTTTCTGCGATAAATTATTTATCAGATATCGCGGCCGCCGTTTCGTGTGCTGTTCCGCGACGAAGACAAGCTTTGAACAACGGGCGTAGTCGAACGGTACACACTCGGTAAGTAATCCTATAATTTTTTGTTTATAGCATAGTTTATACGGATTACTCCCAAAAAATTATACGTGTTTTGGAAATGTTGAGTCGAATTAGTCTAGAATCGGTTAATTTTATAGAAGAAAACCTTTCGAACAGCCTTAGTCCGTAAAGTTCCCACCTATCGGGCTGCGATTGGCTCATGTATTTAATCGTTCCTACAATGTAATTTTCGGTTAGCGTGGAACGTATCTAAGCGTTATAGGGGGGTCTACTGTATATCAGTTTATAAATATTAATTGTAATGTTGTTAAATTACTATATATAATAAACAAGGCAAACTAAACCGTGCACATTTCCCACACAGCACTATCCACAAAAGATGACTCAGATATTTAGAACAGTTAGAAATTTACAAAGCTTCGAGAAAAAATTCCACTAAAAACTTTTGAGATGTTGATTCTTCCCCCCCTGTGTAAGTTGATCTACAATCTTTGGTCTCACAACCTCCCCCCTCTCTCTCTCTCTGTCTCTGTCTCATGTCACCCTTCTTAACATGTGAATGGCAATATCCCTTTAACAGCTGCAAAGGTCAGTTAATCTGAAGATACTTGTTTAACAGGTTGAAAACACATTTGCTTTTTCATAATTTTTGTGCTGAAAATTAGTTTAGTTCATCTTGTTGATTAAGTATATCCAGTTTTTGTGTTGTTGAATATATAATAAATTGGAGTACAACACAGATATATTTATACATATGTAATTTAAAAATATCTTTATATCATACAACTAAACTACTGTGACATAATGACTTAGTCACATCCTTTCTCCTAATAGGAGACACTAATTTTATTCTGAGGACAGTTTTGAAAACATAGATTGTATTTTGAATGTAGGATATATAAAAGGTCTTTCTCTCTATCTCTCTCTGTTTTTTTTAAAGATATGTTAATAAGTATACACATCTTAAGTATATAAATTAATGTATTAACAGTTACAGATTTTTACTGATGTTGAAATTGCACAAATAGATCACCTAGTTTATCATCAAAAGAGACATGTATAATCATTATTGATTACTTTTTAGCATTTCTCCTCTGTTTTAAAAAGTGTTGTTTTTTTTTCTATTCCAATAAAAGCTTACTAAATCATTAGAGAGCTTTGTGTTCTAAAATATATCTATTCTTTTTCAAAGATTGTGCTGATAATTACTTCAGTATTAAGATCACTTAAATTGCTGTTTTTTTTTTTTTTTTTTTCATTTGACAACACTTTCTATTCCTCTTTATTTTTTTTACTGGCTGACAACATTTTTTTTTATTTATATTGAAATTTTAGACAAGATTTTATCTTGTCTTCTCTCTACATATAAAAAGTTTAAAATCATCCCAAAATTTTTCAATGAGTGAATCATGTTGGGTGAATGGTACCCAACTTATATATACCACAGGCTGCATGGCCTTCCTCTGCCTATCTGCTTATGGATCACAGCCTGAATTACACAGTGTTCACAAGAAACCAACACCACATCCTGACACCCAGGAGTACATGGTCATCACCATCTTACCATGCTGCTTGTGGAGGCTTGCAGGTCTTTGTGAGATCTTTCTGCTAAAAAGATTCAAAATTCTTGAAAAATTCATAAATATGACTTACAAATAATACCTAATATAGAATAGATATCAATAATAATAAAATAAATGACAGATTGAAGAAATGTGTTTTCTTTAAATAAATAATTAAAAAATAAATCAATATATATATAATATATATTATAAAAATTATCTAGGGTCCACAAGGTGAAGCAATCGGTGCTCTTGTGCAGCCTCTTCCTATGACACATTTAATATTTCGTGCACCATCTGAAGCTGCTGGAAAATGCTGGATGGATGGATTAGAACTGGCTTTAAGGTGTCCATCTCTATTAATTCGCAGCATGAGTGGATCTGAAGGAAAATCTTTGCCACATGAAATATCGCAAGATATTCCATTTAGGCAACAGTCAAGTCAATGGAATGAAAGTGATATTGAAAAACATTTTAATGACCAAGGTAATTTCAATTATTATATTGCTTTGAAAATGCTATCAAAATTGATTTTAATAGTTTTTTCCTTCAGGCAATTTATTATTATTATAAACTAATTTTATTAAACAGTTAGCTCAAAAAAATATATTAAAATAAGTTAAACACTTATTTGAAAATATTTTTTTGAGGTGTTATTCTTCAAAACTGTTTATTGTACTCATAGTATCTAAAAAACATACATAATTGGTTTTAGTATTGTTATTATCCTATTCTAAACTTGTTGTAAGGTTTTGGCTGGAATTGAAGTTCATACCTTATGAAAAGTATTTAATAAATCTTAGAATACAACAAAATTTTTAAGAGAGTCCAAATAATTGTTTATACAAAATGCTTTCAAGACTTGTCATCCCATTTTCTGCATTTTAAATTTGCATTTGTTTTGTATTCTAAAGAATATAATCTACTGTTACTATAGAAACATATTCAAAAATTAAACAAGAAAAATCTTATAAATTTTTCAGTATGCTGTGTAATATTTCAGCTGTTTATTATAGACCTAACAAATGTTACCATCATCAACAGTTAAATAATCTCCTTTCTGTTTACATTTTATCCATTATATTCTTTTGCATTTCCAATAATTTTTTAGCCTCATTAAGATTTTATAACATTATACTCTATCCTTCTAACAGTATTTCTAAAATTCTCAAATTTCTTTATTTTCTCTACATAACAATTCTACTTCTTTCCATATCAATTGTGTATTTTTGTTATAAGTCTCTTGGATAAGATTTGTTGAAAACTTGATTTCTTTGCTTTGATACAGAAATTTTGAAATCAGATTGACTGATTGATTTTTTTTCTTTTTGATACCATTTTCCAACCATATTGCATCATTTCTAGAACATAACTCAAATGGAACTGGCTCTTTATCATTTTTAATCATAATAAATACTGTTTATTTTTTATATTTATTTTAAATTGTTCTTTCTCTAAACTACTTCATACTTTTCTTACCAGACGTGAAGAAAATTGTGAGATATAAATTAGAGCATTTAACACAGTTAAATGCTCTAATTACATTCAAAATTCATATTTTTAATATTTTTTTGTTATAAAGGAAAGTTGTTTTTTAGAATATGGAACAGATGAGATGGAGTGACATATTCTGTAAAAATTTTAGTTTGAACAATGTTTCGGCTCTTTGAAGGAGGTTTTTTCTGATATTTTGATATTTGGTATGGAGTCGTCATTTCCTACTGTTAAAGTTTAATCATTTTGGTTTCTTCACACTTCCATTGACTAGCTTTTTTTTTAATATGTGATTAGATAAATTCTATTTCTGCTGTAAAAATCATCAATTTGTAACTTTCAAATAAATTCTAGTGATTATTCTAGAATAAAGTTTTCTGTCTCTTTGTAATTATCTTTATTTTCAGTTCAAAATCACTAATTATTTTTGAGGTATGTATGTATATATACATATATGTATGTATGTATATACATACATATATGTATGTATATTATACATGTATGTATATTATACATGTATGTATATACATACATACATGTATATACATACATGTATGTATGTATATATACATACATACATACATACATACATACATTGGCTATACAAAAATTTGGTTGATACACACTGTAATTTCCTTTTTGATGTACAGGTTGATCATAGCATTAAATAGAGATATTTTCTTTATATGGAGGAATATGTTGCAGTCCAACCAAACTTTTTCATGCTATTTCAGGGCGCACAAATTTTTTACCCTAAAAATCTATTCAAATTCAGGAATTTACCAATACAGGGGAAAGGGTGCAAAAGTAGGTATACAGTTGATAATCTGAGAAATAAAAATAATAATAATGACCATCAAACATTTGTATCTTTTATTAGTTTGTATTCCTATTTGTGATTTACCGTATTTAACTCACATTTAAGACGAGATGTGACTTTAGATATGCTGGACAATTGGGAACCTTTTTTGCCAATTCTTAACAGTCAAATCTACTCTCCATCAATTACATTTACGAGTTTCTCTGATTTTTTATTTCTGAAAAATTATCTGTTTTCATATGGGAATGGATTAAAAATTATATCGGGCTCGCTCCCATGTGATTTTAGAATTTCAATTTGGAATTCAATTCAAAAGCTTTGCTTTTCCTATTGCTATTAATCTTTACTCCTGACAATACACAAGAATGATTTAAATGACCCAGATAAAATACTTTGTCTTTAAACACAAGAAGGTGAGCATCTGGTAAAAAATGCAAATACACAGTTCAGAAAAATTTTTTGCCAAAACACAAAGAATCCTTCGCTCACACATATAGTACTTGAAGCAGTGAAAAATGAATAAAAACCTTGTCTTTTATATGTGAGTAAATAAGGTAATTGTACATAAAAATTGTTTTTATAAACAATGGCAATTTTGTGAGCATGCTTCAAGAGTTCCAATGGCTTTAAGAAAGTGTGCCAATGTCCTTTTGATATCATTTGTGCATCACAAGTCCCATAGTGTGAATTTTGGTTGGAACTAAACTTTTTCCTTATGGAAATCTCTTCTGCATGTTCTGAAACATCAGCATATAAAATTTGATTGCATTTGGACTGTTCCATATCCCTCCAGAAACACTGAATTATTATAACTGAAGTATTCTTATGTAATTAACATTCATTATAAATATATCAATTTGATTAAGGTATATATTATATTTATTAAAATAATTAACTTGACCTATTATCAAGTTTTTAAAGTTACTCATTATGATCAAAAAATATTTAACAGCAGACTGGATGTATTAAAGAATTAATAATTAAAATCATTTTATATTCAAACAAGATTATCATTAACCATCAAATAGATTTATGTTGTTATAAAAAAAGTTCATTGAAAGATATTTTATAAATCCACGAATTTCTTTAAAAAATTAACTTTCCTAAATCTATTTTTCATTTCATTTGCATGATTAAATTATACTGTATTTATTCTTATAAGATTTATAATCTTCTTTATCACTTTTCTATTTTGTTTACCTATTAACATTTCATTCCTTACTAATTTCTTAATGCATATTAGGTACAGATAATCTTTCTTCATTTCATTACTAAAAGTAACATATTTAGCTTTTCTTATTTATTTTATGAAGGATGTCTCAACTCAAGTTCTGCATGTTCTTGTCAGTGTCCTAATCCTTTTTGTCAGTTGCATATCTATAGAAGATATTCTTGTCCTCATCCACCTAAATCAGTTGAAACCACAAATTCATGTTTGTCCTCAAAACACTGTCCTGCCGTAATTATTTCCACACCAGAAGAGAATCGGAGATTAAGTCTCGATTCCCTAAAAAATACCTACGAAAGTTCCAAAACTTCGAGTCCTTGTCCGGCACGACATTATTTACATAAAACAAATAATAAAAAAACACTTAGTAATCCAGAACTTACTGAATCTGAAAAGCATAATAATGCTTCTCAAGCTGAACTAGTTTTTAAAGTTTTAAGTAGTGCTTCTGCTTCCCTATCTCCTGTCCTAAGTCCTGCCTCCTCATCCTCCTTTCATTCAGATTTTGAAGAAGACATTCACACCGATGATAACAGAGAAATTGATCCGGAGGGAAGACACAGTTACCATTCAACAGATTCAGACTCTGATCCTCATCCTGATGATTCTGATCCTCGTCAAGAAGATGAAGAAGAAATTGAGCCTGTTGAAACACCGTATGTTGAAAATGGAGAAGAGGAATTTGGTCTGGTATGTATCTACTATATATAACATAATTTATAATGCACTAATTACTGCTAAATTTTGTAATACAAATTATATATGCTATTAACTTTTTAAGTATTTATTAGTTGTTTTGTTAAATGAAGCAACTAATAAATAATGCTTATGAAAATCTCATTAAAAAATCATTTTATAAAGTTAAGAAACAAATGCTTTATTGTTACATTTTATTGGTTAAAGGAATGTACTCATATTTATGTTAATTTAACCTTCATAATTTAAATTAATATCAAGAAAAACAATTGCTACCATATAAGTGAATCTTATATCAAATTGTGACTGTAGGGTCTTTACCTCTTTAGTGCCTTGTCAAGATGACACCACTGTGTCTTCAGGACAGACACAGAAACTGGATTGTCCATTTAATTTCATTACGTGAACGGTTGCGTGTGCGGACCTTAGGTTCTGGGATGGAGGCAGAAGGAGAGAACCAGAGGAAATACACTCCACAACTTTTCATATAAATAAAAATACCTGTTTATTGTTCGATACAGACTATTTACATATTTAATTTAGTAGATGCTTAGCCAAAGCTAATCTGAACTGACATATTATGTAACTACTATGACCCAAACAACAAAAGTTAACAAGAGAGAGAGTTTACATTAAGTTCGCGTGAGGATAATTTCTAGACCAACCATTCTAGAATTTCTACTTTGTAGAAATACTAGAATGGTTGGAAGGTTTTACACGTAGGAAATCTTGAATTGGCACAAAGTTCCTTGGAGTGGCGATGATGGTTTCGGTGTGGCACTGAAATCTTCTGGAGTGGCGGCGATTGGAACAGTTTGTGTGGTGGCAATTGACTAGTGGCTACCAACAGACTCACACAGTTCACTGAACACTCATCGACCCCTCCCTTTTTATTAGGGGGTTGCTCTTGGGTTTTCGATAACCTTATTAGGACTTTTTTCATCACTGTCCAATGGTTGATTATTTTTTCTCTTTCGTAGATTCCAGGTGACACACTAGGAAGCTGTGTCACCTACAAAAGGAAGTGAATCCGGTGAAGTTATGATTGTATCTCTTTAGATTTTTATCAAGTGAAAAATAAGAGTTTAAAAGTTAATTTTTTAATATAATTACTCATTGTTTCGATTGTTTGATTGTTCATTGTTTTATTTAAAAGTGAACAAGAAAGTTAAAAAAAAAAAAAAACAATTGATAAGTGTTTATCGGATCCGGGCACTCACAAAATTTTTAAATCTGTTCACTTCAGTTACTTTTCTGAACACTGAATTTTCTCAAATATTAAGTATTTTACAAATAAGTAATTTGAAAATTAAAAGCTGTTTTGGAAAGGAGTTGGGAACTCAAGTTGTTTAGAAAAATGTTTATGGGAATACATTGGAAAGAATAGTTTATAGGAAGATTTTGGGGAGAAGTTGTGAACAGATAGTCTGAGACTTAAAGGACATTCTGATGACAGAAATTAAGTGTGTGTGTTTGTTCTGGATTACAAGGTTTATAGCCATTAATTGTGGTAGAAAAAGCTTAGAATGTAACAACGAAAGCCTTGAAGGATTATTGATGATGGCCTATAGTAAATAGGTTGAAAATGTTTGTAAAAAAGTAAAATAAGTTTAAGCTTGGCAAAATTAGGTGTTGGTGAAACTGAAGCCTTGAAGGATCATTTCCCAATGTTGCTAAAGGGAGAAAAAATTGTTAGTAAAATACTAGATACTGTGTTGAAAAAATTATTTTGCATTTGGAGAAATTTATTATTGACAAAGTAGGATTGTTCATCTTTGTTGGGAACTGTAGAAGATATAGTAATCAAGATGCAGAAAATGTGATTGGAAAATTTGAACAGCATATGGTTTATATAAATGGATATATAGATGTTTCTTTTCCAACTCATGATGATGTAAGATTCTGAAACACTAGATATACCATACATCCATTTACTTAATTCTATAGCTTGCTTACATTTGTCTGTCATTTTTCATTTTGGGTGCTTCATCTCTCCTTGGTTGACTTGGTGTACAACTTTATGCCACTAAGTTTCTTTTTTAGGATAGATGAATTAGAATTTTAGATGATATTTATCAACACACTATCCAGAATCTGTTACCGGTGTGTTTTGTGAATAATACAGTTTATCACTAATGTTTTTGAACCATTAAATAGTTCTTCCTCAGGTGAAATATACTGAATAATCAGTGGAACACATCAAAATAGAACTAGGTATTCACGTTCTATTTTGATGTGTTCCATTCTAAGGGATTTCTTTATATACAACATAAAAGACTTCTTGAAACATCTTTCTGCTGCTCCAAACATTGGAACTGATGCACCTTATGTGCACTCTTCTTTTGAATTTGAGAATGTCATGTATTTGCAGGGCAGGAATGTACCTATCGGTAGCTCACTGTCAAGGTTAATAACAAACAATATTTATAACAATTCCTTTGCTTTCAATATATTTTAATCAGTAATGAAAATCAGAATTATTTTAATCAGCAGAATACTGTAGTTAGGAAGATCAGATAGAAAAATTTTAATTCCTGTATTAAATTTTACAAAATTGTTTTATGCATTTAAGCTTAATTATTATTTTTAAATATGATTTTCATATATCAATCCAAACACTTCTGTAATTAATTGGGCTATATTATGCGATAATTAATAATTAGAAACTAAGTAATTTGGTACTAGAGGTAGATGTTAGGTGCCATCTTTTATCTAAATTAATAATTATAATGATTTCATAAATAATTTAGAACATCTTAGAAGAAAGGAACTAACCTGAACCTGCAACCTTTGCTTACCGTGCAGTGCACTTGCCAGTTAGGCCGTCTGAACCCTGAGCAAGCTTCTTAATTTACATAAGAGATGGTGTTTCATGTCTACCTATAGTGCCAAATTACTTCGTTTCTATTTTTAAAATTATTGTACTTATAGAACAGTTTCTTTCTATATTAAACTTTGTCTCTTTTATTTTTTAAAAACAAAAATCAAAAACACTATATTGGCTGATAACATGTAATTTTATATTATGCCTACTATAATCATTTTTTATCAAAGACAAGATCATAAAATCAACTTTTTTTTTTAATGAACTTTCAATGCTATGCATTTTGGATGCTACACATCCCTCTTCAGGCTAAAAAATATACCCCCCAGATATAAACAGTTATAGTAGGCATAATATAAAATTATGCATTATTAGTAGTGATGTAACGAATATTCTGTTACTATTCAGTATTCGACCGAATATTGAATATTTAATCACTATTCGGCTGAATACCTAAAAACATGAGTAAGAAATGACAAAACCACAGTAAATTAATCATTTTGGTATTTAGATTTAATGTTATCGGGTTAGTGTTGTTTGTTTATATTTATTTATAAGTTATAACATGTACAAAATAAAAAAGAAAATAATATTAATCACATGTATTCACAATTTATAATTACAAGGATCAGCACATGTACACACCTATTAGTTTGAGAATCGTCACACATCTGAGGGTCTGACCCTACCTATCCTTCTTTTTAAGCGCTTGTCTTTGCTCTTCCCTTTATCTTTCCTCTATCACTGTAGTCCACGTATGCCTATGCATACATCATTATACGTGCTCACCATACTTTCGATTTGTCACTTTTCCGTCGTAAATTTCCCATTTTACAATTACGTGACTCATAGCCTGGTGATAAAGGAGAAAAGAGACAGAACGTCAAATTAAGTCACAGTTATGATTTCACAGATTAGAGACAGCTTGGTAGCCCGAACGGTCCCAGGCTTTCGCCCATGCATGCTAAATGACTTTCATTACAAGCATTTAGCTTTCCGAAGTCTATGACAA